GAAAATCATCGAATGACTGCTCCCGCCTGGGTGAGGCGGGAGGGAGTGTCAGACTCTTACTGACTAAAAACCACCCCGTTCCTTCTCCTGCACGTCGAGCCGGAGCCCCGGTTACCCGTTAGGTTCTCCGCGACGCCTTTTGAGGGTTGGAGCTCCTCGCTCAAGCAGTTCTACTTGGCCGTGGTATCGCTCCGGTCGAACCGGCCTATTTATGCCCAAGCATACGTCTTTCTTACGTTCAAAATTGCTGTTATACTGTTACCTTCTAGGTATAATACTTCTATTAAAGATAATACATATTCTAGTCTCAATGACTAAAAAAAAATTGAACCAATACCTTCGAATAATGCAAACGAACACTAAAATTACTTCATATATTTTCAACCTTATTCTTTAGCATTAACGTAGATAATGTATTAAAGAATTTTAACTTAGATGCGTCTGTCTGTATAATTTGCCTCGCAAACACAGCTGCATCGTTTGTCCTCACTTTGTGCCAACTTGTAAAGGACATCGAACTGGAGGGAACAAAGGCTTTACCAAAATATTTTTAGTATATAAACATTAAATACGGTTAATTTGGTGTAGAACTTATTAATTTACTTCTACTTGCGTTCCCGTGGTATAAAAAGTAGCCTATATATTAATCTAGAAGACCATAATCTTTCATTTCAAAGCAGAACTTAATACTTAAAAGAGTAAAGACCTGCATCGCAATTCAACCGCTAAACGTAATAAGCGACACATTAACTCCATACGAATTTGAGCAATATTTTTTTATACAAAAAGCTAACTAGTATAGCAATTTTTTGGTAGACGAAAACTTCAATTACACCAGACAAATAGGGGCCTGTTTTCACAACCATTGACGTACTCTTGCGTAATTTCAATATATCAAAAGATTATCGTATATCGTATGATACAAAAACAAGTATAAAATCCGACCTTTATACACCTATCATGCATGACTATTCACGATTGAAAATCAGTAAATAAAATGATTATTTACTTCTTTGTTTTATCGTTCGAAAACCTTTTTTTAATTGTCCATGTATCATGATTAAAGTTTATCAATAATGTAACAAACAAGATTGAAGTATTCACCTGATGAGTGCATGTTAAGAAAAACTACCAGAAATGGTCTATTTTGAAGTTGAAGATGTCCTAAACCAGTCAATCAAAGTCCTTATTTACTTTCAGTTACTTATAATATTAGCATTCGGTAAATGGAGTAAAGAAAAATCTCCCTAAAGTGTTATATCATAAAACTGAATTTTCCGCAATACCTTTTATGGAAAGGCGGACATTATGGGCTTCATTTGAATCTCCAGTCTTTTAAATCGCATGTGTTGTTTATAACGGTTGACGACGTAGATGTGACGTCACAATCTACAGAAGTTTAGTTAATCATTAAAGAAACAGATTACATGGTTCTCACATGTACAACACGTGCGCTGTTGTTTTTATTTCGGCTTTAATTAAGTGATTATTCGTTTACCGGCCGTTACTTTACGCACGTTGGATGGCACGAAATTTTAATTATACTAGAATTCTTCCTTACATGTTTTGAATCTTTATAATCTCTAGTAATAAGATCAAAGGTTTATGATAAATCTAACACCCATTTTACGCCACTGACTTTGAGTTCTATGTTAGAAGGGTGCGAAGTAATTGGCGACAACTTTTAATAGCTGAAACCGATCTCTGAAGCTTCTTGGACTTGGTATCAGTTACTTCATTTTCAAACTAAAGCCATATTACCCCCTGTTACTTAAGACAACGAAAGGTGCACATTAAGTATAGTATTTCGTATCCAATTTGCACATCCGATGAACCAGCTCGAACATATGCTTTAGGAACATATGGCATATCAAATATCAGCTGCCTTGGTTGCCTTTTTAACGATTTTTATACTTTCATTTGGCTTCTTTACGATTATCGATTTTAAAGATCATATTTCGCGATATTTTGATGGGTCTGGTAATTTTTGTTCATCGTTTTATTGGTGGGTGAATGACTGTTAGTCTGCTACTAATCTATACGCCAGTTTGTCTAACATCTAATGTATGGCGAATGGCAGTAGATTCCTCCTGATGAAAATGTATACTGCGTCCAAAAAGGATGAAATACATCAAAAATTACGCATTTTTAAGTTTCAATGTACTTAAAACGGAATTAACTCGTATTACAAAACATTGAATTAAGGATAATCTTCACGCTTCTGACGTTACAGCTGCGTAGTTACATGTCGACATTGTTTGGCGTTATCTGCCCCAAATATAGAACTTATCTTTTTTTAAAGTCGGACGCGTTCAATAAAAATTACGTTTAAAGTACCATGGAGTTTTTATAACTATACATTCGTTGGGTTAACCCGTATTAAAGAGTAAAATGTCTTCTATTCACGTTTGGTGGGTGTAAAATATCTAATGACGACAATTAACATAACGCGAGAGAAAATAAAGTCCTAGACTAGACTAGAAAGAGTAAAAAAATACGAATATACTATTATTGCCCCACACCGTCCTTCACTGTTACAATTTTATAGAAGAAAAACAACTCGTTACATATTTATCTAGTTTCAACTGCGTCTTAATTTTATTCGAGGCTATGTACAATCGACAAAATTGGCGGTCGACCATCATTAGGCGATATTCGCATGCATTCGGCGCGAACGACCACAGCGAAAACAGGGCGGTGAATAGCGAGTTTGCCACAGAAAATGTGTAGGTACGAGCGTAAACTTTGCCGATAGTACCTAGGTATATGTTGTGTGTCACGTATTCAAAAGTATTCACACTATACGTGAATATGTATAGTAAACAGGTAAAGTGAGGACAGACATCTTTAAAACGTTTATGAAATTGCGATTGAGCTACATATACACATTTTAAGGTTATTTATAGCTTATAGCAGTAGTACCTATACATACATACATAACATCACGCTTGTCTCCCATGAGGATAGGCAGAGATATAGAACGCCAGTTGCTCTTGCTACGATTACTACAAACCTCTTTCGCTTCATCAATAGCCATCAATCTTTTGATGCATGCTAGTCGATTAAGGTTACTTTTAATTGGACCTTTCTTATAATATATTGTACCTAAACATAGTACCTTTAACCTTTACTAATGCCTACTTGTCACAAATGGTGTAGGTAGATGTGCCTATTACTTATTATAGTGCCATAAATGTAAGTAAAATTGTATATATAACTTATTTCAAAGTTATTGATGAAGGAGATTACCATGAATAAGACTTCATACATTGAAATCGGTAGCTATTGTTTGAATATTGGGCAATAAAAGCAACAATGACATTTTAATGTACTGTACAGCTAGTGCAGTTAAATCTTCAGTCTTTTGTGCCTCAGATTAAAAAAGGAATGTTGAAATTTCTAAAGTACATTTTGATAATACTAAATTCTAAGAAAGAATAAGCATTATAGAAGACTAACTGCCAATAAACGAAATAAAAAACATGTAATGTGATGTGTATGTGAAATTATGTGCATCCATGACACAGGAGAAAATCTTAGGGCATGGCAAAATAATTAATACAAAATAATTTTAACTCACAAATTAGGAATCCCACACTAGTCGGAAAACAGTTAAATTCTAGGAAACTCGTACATTTTGAGCTACTATTTCCTCAAATTTGTATTAAAAAGATAACAGAACGTCATAGGCCCTATCAGTTTACCTTATAGTCATTATATAAAATGATGCAACCAGCCTAAAATGGTATAAAGGACTCATATTTTAATGATGACTCATTTTGTCTGAGTCATTACAGGATTGTAATCCGTATATTACACATACATTAAATGAAATATCATTGCTGACTTGACATTTTCAGTATATTTGAGCTTTTTACTCAGTTAGACTGGAATAAAACCTTGTCATTTAATTTTAAAACATAAGGTAAGATCGCATGAAAGTCATGTGTAGCTTTTATCATGTTTTGTACTGGGATAAATTAAGTTTATTTTGTAAAGAGACTACTAAAGAGCATTTATACATGTCATAATCCAGATACACGAGGCCAGCATTGAGTAATTGACTACTCTGAAAAGAAACACTGTTTCAACTCGGTAATACTCAAAGTTTAAACTCCAGACATCAGTATAAAAAGAAAAAATTTTTAAAGATTCAATATAAAATTTTGGTGTAATTGGATACAGAAGGAACTATTTAAAAACAATGATAAAACTGTAATATTCAAATAAATCAAATAAGAATCATGGTGTGAAAAGTATTAATTCCATATACTCATATAAATTTCACATAAACCGTAACAAAAACTATGTGTTTCAGTTATTGATAAGATTTTCCTAATTCTAACAGTTCGAAATAGTGAAACCAAATTTTATTCACAAGTATTTCACCACAGTGCAAAATAACGAGTATTCGTGGATAGATAAAAATGATTATGCAATTCAAACATGTTCCAACATGTGTATCTAATTTTAGCAGCGGTTTAATCAAACTGAATTAAAAACTTGACTTCTTAACTAACTGAAGGTCTCTAGAAACTTCTAGAACCGCTTAAAGACACTAACATCTGAGATCTTCTATTGAAAATAAGATTTTAAGGGGTAATTTCGAAAATTTATAAAATAAATTACTTTTAGGTTATAAATTTATTAACGAGAATACGTTAAATAAATTCAAATAAGAGTCATTCCAACACGATACGGTGACACAAGTTACATAAAAACCAAGTCTAGAACTAAACTAAGTTTGGAGTCAACTTTCTAGACTCAAAAAAACTTTTCGAAATCAATTAAAACCGTCGATTTCACTCCTGTGAGGGCCTCAACACATCGTCTATGCAAATAAAACACATGCAAATACGGAATTTCGCCATAAAAGACACTGGTTGACCCAAAAAACTGGCTTGGTGACCAAAGAGGTTAACTTTTAACAAAGAAATATCACACAAAAAGAAAGCGTAATGGCCGCTGAATTTTATGAAATTGCATAGTAAAAGACTTACCCGGATGCTTCCGTGGTGAGTTTTTGTATGAAAACCACCCTATAAGTGATGATTTTTTCGTTTCTCACTCTTCACGAACTAAATCAAGAATGCCTGACAGATGACTGATGCAGGGCCGTCACACTTACAGCCATTGACAGCTTTAAAAATCGGACCGTCAGCTACATCTAGTTTTCGAACCTGAAATTAAATGTTGTCAAAACTTTTTTTTGTTGTCAAAACTAATATTTTCAGTGGCCACACAGTTCCAACCAAGGTTGCAACATTATTTCAAAATTTAGGGTTAAAATAATATTTTTTGGAAATAGTACAATATCATTATACACATTTATTTAATACTATATTGCAATTTTCACAAAATAATTCCTTAAACTTAGATCAAATGACAGTTATGCTGGCATAATCGTTCAAAGATGACGACCTTTTTACTAATAAAGAGATTAAAAAGATATCAAGTGATGGATGACAAACTAAACTGTATGAAGTGACTGCGTCAGGTTTCTGCATCTAAAAGCATTAACCTAAGAGCCTGTGAACCCCAGGTCTAGGCCACCGTTTTTATTATATAAAAACTAATATACTCAATTTTCATAGAAAATCTATAAAATAGGTTGCACACATTCTTTCTGTCTCCCTATCACACACACACACACACACACACTTAATCTTCCTCGATAAATGCACTAACACCAAAATGAACTTTAATTCCATTTTTAGTCTGGAGCCTTCTTGCACGGTTTGCCAATCTGAACTAAACGCATTGAACAGAGCTGTTAAAATGGTTCTAGATAGCGACTAGAGTAAGAGTACTGAGTGACTCTATGTCCTCCCTCGATGTCTTGAAGAACCCCAGGATTAGCCACTGTTTGGCGGAAGAGATAAAGCAGTGTTTGGAGACCGTAATGGAACAGGGAAGAGAGAATCGATTTTTGAAAAGTAATCCGAGATTTTTTTGTCTAAAGAATATAATGCGCAAAACGCTAACGGCCATGATTGAGCATCGTATGACGTCACATTTCAATAAACAAATAGTTCCTTTCTTTGTTCTTGTATTTATCTCTGAAAATGATACGTATACTATTTCAATTTATGTTTTTTGAAGCTTAAGGAAATGGAGTCAGGCTACATAAAAGTCTAGTTCAAATCTATCTAAAGTGGATTCATTTCTGGTCGCAAACTTCTTTGCATGAAACCCTTACTTTTGTTCTGCAGAGTTTCGGAATGTAAAACTTCCGAGTAAGTAACGATAAAGTACATCAATTCTATTTGGGCAAGTCGTTTTGTGTAATTCTTAAATCAATTACTTTAAAATTTATTAAAACATTTCAAATCACTTATAGTTCGAAACTAGTAGAGCTTTTCTCAGTATATTCACGTGAGTAACCCGCGTTTTTACTTAATTTAGTATGTCTCACGATAGTTATTTTAAAAACATATATTAAACCGGCAAACACCAAGCGGTCACCGGTCACCGCAACCTATTGTTCTTTAATTGTGTCTATAATGACGGTACTCAACGAAAATTATGTAAACAAGTTTACTACAAACTGACAGATTATCTTGATGATAATAATGCTAGGCAGTTTGTTGGTTTGGCTTCACTGCAAAATACTCAAATTTAGTCAGTAGTT